CAATCTGCTCATGACAAATGTGGAGGGACTGGAAAACCAAGTGTATAAACACGTAAGTGCTAGTGTGCACTATGAGGATAAACAGTACATAAATGTGTTTGCTGCCTCATAAGGCAAACGAGTTAAAGCGGTACACTTACAAGGATTTACTGCACGGAAACTGAAGGAGACTTGAGAGAGTTCCCGGTCCAACCCTCCCATTTGACAGAAGGGAAAACTAAGGCCTGGAATGATGAATGATGTATGTGGAGTCTTAGACCCAGGGTGGGGCAGTTACTGAATATTTATTATTAAATGCTGATTACATACCAAGTACTCTAGGCACTGGAGATGTGGAGATAAACAACACAATGCCTGCTCTCAAGGAACTGATAATGTAGTGGGGAATCAGACCCATACACGTCTGCGGATGGCGAGTTTGGGATGCAATGAGTCCTGTGACAGAGGAATCCACACAGAGCTATGGGAGGATGTGGGAGGCTGATTAAACTGAAAGAGGGGAGAAAGGCTCCACAGAATGTCGGAGTGAGAAAGGTGGGGCATGAGAGGAGGTTACTGCAAGCAGAGGGAAGAGCATCAGCAAAGCCGTACAGCCTACCTCCCACAGAATCTTTGACTCAGAGGAGATCTTAGAGACCAGCTCTTCATGTGACTTAAACCTTCCTCGTGTATTACCCTGGACAGCTGGTAACTCCGCTTCTGCTGGAACATTTCCAGTGAACGGAAGCCGATCATCTCATCAGGCAGAGAGGTTTAGTTCTAACCTTTTCAGCTGGCACTGCACCGGATGTAGGGGACCCGTCAGAGTCTGTCCCCTCACTGCCGCTGAAGAGCAGGCCTAGGAACATTCGGTCCTTGACTGCCTCTCAGGGGAGTAAGAAAATGCCGTGTGCTTTAGAACCTTTGGCTCATAGAACGTTAGAGCTGGGAGGGACCTCAGATGTCCTTTAGTCCAGTTTTTCAGCATCTCTCTGTGACTCATGGCCCCTCTTTGAGAATGTGATAAAACTGTATAGGTCCTCTCCCCCCAAATTCACATACGTTCATGACACGTGAAGTGCTGCGTGCAGTTTTAGGGGGCTCTTGGTGCCCCCAAGCCTGTCCTGGATTAAGAAAGCGTTCCATTTTACTGGTGGGAAACTGAGGCTCAGAGAAGTGGAATGGCATGAAGAGGAATCAAGGAAGTGATTTCCCAGGGGTCAGACCACGGCCTGGGCAGACGAGTCAGACCCGTGGGTCGCCTGGGGAGAGGCACTGCCAGAACGAGGAGGTGCGGGGGCAGGCTGCGGGAGGGTCTGCTATCCGGCCGAAGGGAGACCGGGCCTAGGAGCAGTGTCACGGGCACTTTACTTACCTGCAAGTTGGTTTATGAAGAGGATTTAGACTCTTCTCCAAACCAAAAGATAGAAAGGAACTTCTGCTAGATAGCACCGCCACTCGCTAATGGAATGTACTGCGTGAGAGGCACAGAGTTCCCTGTCGTTTGACTTTTTTGAAGACACAGGACAACCTCCTGTGGAAGGGACTTCAGCATAACAAGACTTTGAACGGGGTGACCCACACTGGACTGGATTATGTAACTCCGGGCACACTCCATCGCATACGCTCACCGGAAATAAGCTTGAGTTTCCCGGAGAAGGTGGCCAGCAGAGAAAACGGTGGGAGGAGGTGGAGAAAGTTCAGGATGGCTGAGACCTCAAGTGTGAGGGTGTGGGAGGTGGCAGCAGTGGAAGAAGGGAGACCTGGAGATGGCAGTGGAAGAAATGCTGAAGGGTCTCACACAGCATCGGGCTGGTACTCAAGAACAATGGCTTGTACCCAGCGATGGGACAGTGAATGAAAGCAGAAGGACACAAAGGCGCATTTCAAAAGAGGAACTAATGCAATGGGCGGTGGCAGCACTGGCAGGGAACTCCGGAGGCAGAAGAGAGGCTGTGGTGATGGGTTGTGGGCTACACACTGTGAGTCTGAAGGGATGGTGACAATGGGACATGCAAATGGGGGTGGCCAGTGATCTGAAATGCTGGCACGTCACAAAAGGACAACAAGGTGGCAAAGCCCAGGAGGCGATGGACGAGTTGGGGTTAGAGGCCTAGGAGGTCAAGGTGTGAGACAGATTAAGGGGCCATCTACAGATATGAAGTGATTTGAGTTTTAAAAGCAGATACATTTTTAATTAAAAAAAAAAAGTACAGCAGGGCCCAGGGCCGACCTCAGTGTGGAGACGGTGTAATGAAAAAGACGTGAGAGGGAAGGGCCAGAGAGCGGGAGGAGCTCCGTGAGCAGAGTGGGGGAGAGATCTGGCCAAGGAAGCTTCAGGGAGGAAGAGTGACCGACACAGGTGTGGTCTTATTTTAGCGCCTGTTCCACTGTGCGCTTCGGCACATAAATTATAGCAATGTTCATTTTGGCGGCAACCTAGGGCAACATAGGTGGTGTGGTATGAGTTATAAAGTGCTTTCAAATGGATTATACGTGTTCCTTCAAGAGTATTTCCTACAAAACATGCCTTAGAAAGTAAGACTAAAACTCCCCTCCCAATTTCTCCATCAGTAAATTAGAAATCACTTCAAGTTTGAAAAGGTCCTTTCACGTCCATACTTTTGGGAAGGCGGTGTCCGCCGGCACAGCCTGGGAGAGGTACACTGAGGTGCCAGGACGTGCCTGGGCCACCTTAGTTGGTGGGGCAGCGGCAGAACCTAATGTTCTGATTTCTGTTCCTATTAACAAAAATGAAACACAAAATTACACACCAACTCCGATTTTAAGAAATAACTCTTGGGAAATAAAACGCAATCAGTTTCTTCTCCATGTAAGTATTTCTCTCGGGGGTCTGTGCTACAATGACTGGAGGAGGTAACAGTAAAGTGTGAAAACAGTTGTTTACTTCCAATGATGACACTCAATAATGGAAAAATCATAACTGAGGAAAATAAAGGAGATTGCAATTTTTCAGTTTTGGCAACTTCACATATTATCACAGTGAGCACAGTTCTGAACTTCAGAAACTAAGAATTAAGAACAAAGAGGACCCATCTTCCCCAAGAGTGAGACTAATGAGGACGGCAAGTCAGAGGGTGAAAGTGCAGGTGGAGAATTAGCTGTTCCCTAAATCTCCTTGTTGGATCAAGCCCTCTGGGCTAGGAGCTACAAAAGGCCATGTTAGGTAAAAACGATTGTCAAGCACTACATACTTTACTTAAGCATCATTATTTGAAACCCCTCCCTCTGTACTGAAGATCTTCTGACAAATGTGTTCTTGGTTCCCAGCTCTGCACTGAATCCAAACGCTTGGCCCCAGGCATAGGACCTCTGGGCAGCATCGCAGGCAAAGGAGAGGAGGAGGAGGCAGTGGAGATCAGTAACAGTGAAGACGTAGGGCTTCCACAGAACTGGAGAATGCCTGGAAGCCAACTGGCCTAATCTGTCATGTGTACAGATGAAAAGGCTGAGGCCGGGAAGGAGAAATGCTGTGTTTGGTTCATCGCCAGTAAACATCAGAGGCTGGATGTGAACCCAGGTCTTCTCTCCACTCTGCCACAACCCCTCTGTTCTGCTGGAAAGGGAGTTTCGGGGAAGGAGGACTCCAGGATACCCCTCTCCAAAAATAAAGGGAAATGTGTTTGGATTGATGCACTCCTTTTTTGGGGACATACAAAGTCAGTCATATCGCCTTTGTAGAGTTGCACCTCATACTCAGGTAGCTATGACTTCAAACTCCGAAACTAGATTCTCACACATCACCCTGGAGTTGACAGAAACAGCAGCAGAAGAAAATACAATACTCCACCCCTCGCAGAGAATACTCACTTGCAAGTCAGTGACAAGTCAGGATAATTCGTCATGTGTATTACCTACTTACAGTTGTCACTCACATGCAGACAACTTTGATAAGAAGGCTGGAAAAAGAGGCAGGTTCATACTGGGTTCTTTGGCAAAAGTGAAGAGAAGAGGGCCTCACTAGGAGAACACTGCAAACTAATATGTCCTAGATGCCCCCCACTGTGGTAGCTTCGGAGTCACAGAAGATAATGTGTTTCTGTCAACCCTGTCTAGTGAAGGCTGACATTACGGTTAGTATTCCAGTCATAGCGGTATGTCATGTCTTGCTAACACGATTTGTCTTGCCTCTTATTATTTTTAATCGCTATTTATTACACTTATGCTTCCCCCTTGTGGGCATGACATGGAAGGGACCCAGAGCGGGAATGCTCCACGGCGTGGAAACACTCAGGTCGTGGCCCGGCAGCCGTCCCTCGGGAACCTGGCTGTCGTGCGCATCTTCGCTGTCAGAGGTGTTGGTCTCTACACCTGCTAACGCCACATACTCTTGCTATTTGAAACACCCAACACAGGTATCAGAGAAAAGGCAAACCAAAAAGTAATCTAAGATCCATCATTTACGGTAAAATAATCATGATGTATTGTCGGGCACAGATGACTACTTTGTGCATTTTGTATCATTATCCAAAAACGCGTGAGGTCCTTGAGGCAAGTATTTTCCTTTTAGTTACTATTTTCTCTGTAGGCTCCAGGCAAGAAGTAATTTACATTATTTAGTATAAATTTGTTATGGAATAGGGAGGGGAAAGCAAGTTATTTATGCAAGTGGGCTGCTTTAATCAAATCAAAACTAGACTAGTCTACTGGAAGTGCGCCATGCACGGTGGATGATTCCTTGGGAAAGGCAGGAGGCCAGAAGACCAGTTTTCTCCCTGCAGCTCCCTGCGCAGCGCAGCCCCCTCCCACGCCTTCCCTTGGGTGGGTGTGGCAGCTCTGTCTCTGGGTGAGAATATCAAGGACTAACTGAGAGCAACTGCCGCAGACTGGGCCTTCACCCTTCATTGTCGCCTCGGTGCTCTGAGGACCGCTGAGCTGCAGCGGGGACCAGAGCTGTTTCAGATTCTCTCCCGATTCCCTCCCTGCTCCCCACGCCACTCCACCCTTCACCCCCCCCATTTGGAGCTGTGAGAACATGAGGTCTAACGGCTCGGACTTACTTGGCCGCAGCGTCTTTTCTCAGCTGCTCGTGCTTCATGAGGAGATTCTTCCGGTCTCGGAAGGCTTTCCTGACCTTGTACCCTTTGTAGACAGCCTGGATTTTGAAGGCGGCGATGTCCTGTATGGCCGCGATGGACAGGGCGCCATGCTCCAACATGAACTGGATCACTTCGTGGCGCTCGCCGAGCAAGGCGTAGTCAAGGGGAGTGTACCTGAAGCAGGAAGGTTTTTAAAGTGTTGGAATGTAATTCAGGGCTCAGCTACACTGGCGATACACTCGTGTGCAGCAAAAACGTCATTCTAAGAGTGAAATATTCCTCAGGCAAAGCTCTCTTCTGCACGCCAGGGCTGCTCCTTTTTTGCTCTGAGGGGTGCAAAACAAGCGTGAGGCTGGGGCAGGGCGCTGGTGACCGTGCCAAGTCCTGAGCTGTGCTCACTGGCTCGCAAACTGGGGGCTGGGAGAATGTGACCATTCTTCCTCTTTCCCATGTTCCAAGTAATTCCCTGCTCCTATCTGAAAGGTACTGCAAATAATATTTTGTGATATTCATAATCTGAGCCCCTGATGACCAACCGTTAATGCTTATGCAATAAAAAATGGAGAGATTTAGTACATGATAAGCATGGCCCTCTAACTGGAGAAAGGATGAATTATTAAATAGGGCTAGAACAACTGAGTAGCCATGTGGGGAGAAAAAAGATTCTTATATCATACTTACTCTAAAATAAATGCTGGATGAAGCAAAGATCTAAAATAAATAAATAAATAAATAAATAAATAAATAAATCCATGAATGCACTAGAAGAAATTGTGGATGATTATTTAAAAACTGAAGTGGAAAGCTTTTTTAAAAAATGATACAAAACTCAGAAACCTTCCGATTGATACATGCAACTACATAAAAATTAAAAAAAAAACTTTTCAGGGCAAAAACACTAAAAACAAGGGTAAAAGAGTTCCCCAAATAGCAAATACTAATGGTTCCTAAACATATGTCCAATCTCACTAAGTTAAGAGAAACACAAATTAAGACTCATTTGAGAGAGAGCACTTCAATAATTAGGCCAGCAAAGATCAGGCAGCTGAGGAACACACTGTGCCAGCATGGATGAACGGAGGCGGCCCCTCTCACGCACTCCCTTAAACTTGAAGGAGAGCAATTTGGCATGTCTGTCGGAATCACTTACGCATCTGCCTTTCGCCATAGCCACTGCCCTCAGAGGCATTCATCCGACAGGTCTGTGCTCATTTGTGAAATGTTTTATGTACACCGGCATTCATAGAAGCACAGCTTGAAATAGTAAAAGAACGGGAACAACCTCAATATCCATTAACAGAGGGCTGGTTAAATAAAGCACAGGCCGTCCAGGCAATGAAGACATCTGTACAATGCAGCCATTACTGCAGTCTATGAATAAATAAGGAACAATCTCCGGGATGTCTTGTTAAATGAAGAAAATGAAAAAAGTAAGAAACAGAACAGTGTTATGGCATGCTCCATTTGTACAAAAAGAATACGTCCCTGTACGTTCACCTCTATAAAATATATCTCCAGATGTTTCCCAAGAAACTGGTACAGGTGGCGCCGCCGAGAGGGCGCTGGCTGCCTCAGAGGCGCCAGCCAGAGGGACACCCCCTTTCCATCCAGCGCCCTTTGATACCTTTTAAATTTCGTACACTGGGCACATAGCACCTTTTTGACAAATGTATTATTTAGAAAGGATGGGTATTATTGTCATGTAGTTATATGTTTAAATTTCAATGGGCTCTTTCTGATTGTGTGATTTTAAGCAAATTCTTTTTTAAAAAAACCATTTTTCATTTTTAGAAGTATAAAATAAATCAGATAAATACACAGAAGAAAATAAGTCACCTATCTCACCTCCCTCACAATTAACCGATGCTAATATCTTGGCAGATACACTTTCCTTTTTTAAAGAGAAACGACTGCTTCGTAAAAATGGCACATTTAAGCATTTGCAAATGCCAAAAGTAAAAAAAGTGGAGGCAAGAACCCCAAACCCCAAATTCTACCATCCAACCATGGCAATGTAACGGTCATTCTTCAATAACCCACTCGCTGCTTCTAAGCCGCAGCCTCCCTCCCTCATCACAGACTAGGCGCCAGGAGACAGGAAACGACTGTGGAGCTCGGCACTGCACTGGCACCCCGGAAGGAGTTCCGGAATGTCGGCTGTTCTGTCACCCTTACAGGACATACCCTGCGGCATGGTTTGTGCCACAGTCACTCACCATACAGATTGTTTCCACGGGACCCAAACTAGTAGTTCTAACCATCCAGTGGCGGCCACTGGTCCGATTTCTTTCTGAGTGACTGTTACTAATTCAATGCAATAAGAGATATTAGGAGGAAATAGTCAGCTGATGTCTGAGGAGGAATAAATGATTATATGGATGAGTCATTAGACACAGAAAATCATTCAATGATTGTAGAAAAAGAAAGATTTCTCTTCAAAATCCACCTAACAGTCACAGTAAGCCATAAAACGATGAGGTTTTCAGTTTAAGCAAAGGGTGGTTTGGCCACTTCAGTACGGGAACTTGGAATTCAGAAGACAGCCCCGAATGCTGAAATTAAGGAACTCCTGTGTAAGGACAGCTCAATTTGCCACTCCTATTCAGAGACCAGAAGGCCATACATAAAGATGCCTATGTAATCTTTAAAACACTTTATAGAAGTAGGTAGAGTTTTATAAATTCAGAAGAACTTCAAAAAATATAACTATACATTCAATGGAAAAGATGATCACAATAATAGTAGAGCTAATTTAGTGTATTAAATGAATAAACAGACCCAGAAAAATTAAGCAACTCGCAGAAGGTTATGTAACTAGGTACCTGCAGAATCTAGACTGGAACTAAGATCGAATGACTGACTCCCCTGTTCAATAGTGTTTCTACAACACATCTATCTACTGAGGATAGGTCTCTTATACCTCATAGAACGAAACTTCTAAAATCACCTCGCAAATAACCTGTATTTAGTAAGCTTAATCATTTTTTTCTACAATTAAAATGCGGTGTCTTTCACATAGTACACAAACAGGATTATCGGAATCTGGTTTATGAAATGAAGGCCCAAACCATGCCTTTTCTTACAAATATGACAAAGAGGAGTAACAGGTGGCATAAGAGACCCTAAAGAACGCGGAACTGGGAGTCAGCAGACCTGGGGGGCCTGGGCATTCTCTACACCTCTCTGAGCTTCTGCTCTCTTCCTTGTAACAGGCAAAAAAGAAGGCTGGATCTCTCAGGCTATTTGTGGATGAAAATTGCATTTCAAATGTTTTTAATATCTTTATTATGAAAAATTGTACTTTTATTAGGAGAAATTCCAAACATAAACAAAGGTAGGGAGTATGTAGTTATATATTCCTTTACTCACTCATCATCCAAATTTTAACATTTAGCAAGATTTTTGCCACATTTCCTTCATCCAAGCCCTCCCTTTTCACTTTTGCTAAAGTGTTTTTTAAATCAAATTCCAGAACTCCTGTCATTTCGTCTCCCTGCATTTCAGTATTTATCTATAAATAATATGAATATAACCATGTCATTATTGTGTTAACAAAATTTCTTAGTAAGACTAAATACCCACTCCATGATCCAATTCCCCCCAATTTTCTCAAATATGTCTTTTTTTAAACAACTGGTTTATTTAGGATTCTCAGTCAATTTTTGATCAAAGGAACACAATCCAAATGTCTAGCAAGGTTTTAAGATTCTAGAGTTTAAGCCACTGACCATATTGTGATTATTACTATTGTATCTTTCTTCACCCCCAATTCAATTTAGAAACATTCAAATGCTGTGAATATTCCCATGGATGTCAGGCTGTAGCTGTCAGGGAGTTATTGACTGAAAGCCAGCAGGAGCTGGCAAAAATTATGTCTATGCAGGGCACATCAAGGGTCAGTGTCAGCGCGTGAGAAGTAAAAATTAGCACTGCACTGATGGTAACCAGCCGAGAAGCGATGCAGATAAAGACAAGCGACGAGATACAATTGGACCTGCCATGTGGGAATGGTCTGATGGGGTAAGCAGAATGCCTAAACTGGAATGTCAATAAACATAAAAGGCAGTGCCAGTTCTGACACTTGTACATCAAGGTGCATTGCTGATGAAACATTAAAGGGACCTGGAATAGTGCCACTGTCTCTTTTCATCTATAGATTGGCAAGTACAGTTAGGCGAATTTTTCCTCTGGCCTTTTGGTCTGTAATTAACACATGCTTACTCCAGGAGGCAGTAAGCACCTTAAATCACAGGCTTACTTAGGTCTGAAATTCAGTGCTTTGAGAACTGAATTGCAAACAAAATATTTTTTTACTGTTTCCCCAACATAGTAGTCACGCTATAAACACTAATATCGTAGAATGAATGCTTTATAGAAATAAATCATCACTAATTCTTAGGATGCTTAAACTTTCTCTTCTGTTTTTTTTTAGGATTTGCAAGGGAGAAGTCTTCAGCTCTCACATATCTACTTTAATGTCGAAACCTCAGTCTGGAGGATTCCACTTGGCTTTCTGACTTCCCTCAACGGTCAACCCCCTGAACCCTCAAGTCGTTTTTGTTTTGCAATTGCCATATGACTATAATAGAGAGAGTGAGTTCTTTATACAATTGCTCCTAAAGTAAGATATGCCACAAGAATTTATCTAATTCTGCATGTGCTCTAGAAATTGCAGAAGTTTCTAATGCAGGCATGAAGCAGGGTGATGCTTACTCAGAGCCTGAAAACATGAACTTGACAATGCAACAGTTGTTTACCGAGCATCTCCTTCAAAAATTAAAAGGACTGTGAGCAATAGAGATGACCATGATCTTCAGGGGTTCTCTGCTAATGGGGAAGACACAGTATAAGGGGACAAAGTGTGGGACACATGATGGTAGGACCAGAACAACCTCCTCAGACAAGACTGCATTCGAGCAGAGGAATGACATGAGTAACAATTACACTAGGAATACAATTTAGGCTACTTTGGAAGCAGATGAACTGAATGAGAAAAGCTCAAAGGTGGGAAAGCAGCAAGGAGACACTGCAGCAGTCCCAGAAAGTCGAAGAGGGCTGGGTTTAGACACTGACACAGGTAATGAGGTGAAGCCAGGACAGGTACTGAGTCTGAAATACAGTTTTAGAAGTCACCAAGACCCCGATGACTGCTGCAGCCTCAGTGGCAGGGCAGATTGCCAGAGGAGACAGGCTGAGAGACAAGATCTAGTCCTTGAAGAATGCTTATGTTAAACACACACACACACACACACACACACACACACCACAGAAGAGGAGCCAAAAGAAATGAAGGAGGAGGAGATGTGATTAGAAGAGAATCAGGAAAATAAACTGTCACAGAAGCTCAGAGAAGATATTGTCACAATAAAGTAAAGAAGGGGAAGCAAGGGAACCAGGACGCAGAAAGGCCAGTGAGAGTGGACGGAGAGGACCACACATGGTTTCACAATCAGGAATTCGTCAGGAATTCCCAGCAGCGTTAGGAATTTGCTCAGACCCAGATTTCAGCACAGATGTGAGGATGGAAGCCAGACTGCCAAGGCATGAATGGTGAGCATGCAGCAATGGGGCCGTGAAGACAGTCTGAGAGAAGGCAGTCTTCAGAGACAGAAGACCAACTTCAGAACAAAAAGTTGGAAGATAATGGATGGAGGACTTAACTAACGGGAAAGGTTCTGAAAGAAGTGGAGAAGGTGAAGAGGTTGGCCTCAGACAGGAGGAGCATGCTTCCACTGAGACAGCAGCCTAGAGAAAGTCCTTCCGTCTCTTCAAAGTTTCCACGACAGAAGGAAAGAACTGGCTGTGCAGGCTAAGAGGGTGGGGCAGTGTCAGAGCAGGGGCCACTTAGTCAGAGAATCCAGGAACAATGAAAGCTAGAGTGCAGACCTGGGCCGGGGGAGTTCAGGCATGGAAGTCTGACTACAAACTTAGCGGTTACCTACAAATTACTAGAATCTTCCTAGACCCAACCCCACCAAGCATCTCTTCTGCTTAGACTTCACACTGTGTCTGATCCTTTCATTGGCCTGGGTTCTTGAGGAACACCTCCAGCTGAACTCTGAGGATCTCATAGTATTCAGGAAATCTGTGTTGAGACTAAAACCCTGACCTTCCAGCTTAGCTTCTCGTTTTTTCATGCTACGTGGTGGCACCTTTGTCCACTAACTGATGATACCCTCTTCACCAACAAAAACTTCTTACATATGTAACACATGCCACTGGCCTAACCACATTCCTAGTCCTGGTCGGTCTGGACCCCCCCTGACTTTATGCTAGTCACCAGTTGGAAGAAGAAGGCACAGGAGTTTCCTCATCTATAAAATGTGAGCTTACCCTAGGTAATATCTAAAGTTCTGAATAGCTTTAACATCCCAAGATTCCAAGCCAACGCTGCACGGAACTTTTTATCTTCTTTTCTGGTTCAGGATTTCTTTCTTTATTTTTTTTTTTTAAGATTTTATTTATTCATTTTTAGACAGAGGGAAAGAGAAGGAGAAAGAGAGGTAGAGAGATATCAGTGTGTGGTTGCCTCTCAAGCACCCCATTCTGGAAACCTGGCCGGAAACCCAGGCATGTGCCCTGACTGGGAATCAAACTGGCGACACTTTGGTTCACAGCCTGTGCTCAATCCGCTGAGCCACACCAGCCAGGGCTGGTTCAGAATTTCTTAATGTAATGTTTTCCTTATAAGTATAATTCTTATTTCTGAAACAGTATCTAATGTTGAGATTTTTAATCTGGAAGAAAGGATGTGATATGAACAATATTTTTAAAAATCAACAGCTTACTTACCTCTCTTCATTGTTTTCCATCTGATTAGGAAAAGCAGCGAAGTCTAGTAGTAATTTAATGGCATCGAGGTATCCGTTGTTACAGGACCAGTGCAAAGCTGTTCTTCCCTACAAGCATGGGCAAAAAATCAAGTACATTTGGAGTAGGTATTTTTGGACACAGGTATTTATGCTAACTCAAAAAATAAACAATTCTTCCCTCAAATTACTTAATTACAATAAGGGAGAATATTAACTATACAGTGGAGGAAAGGACGGTATCTTAACCAACCGATCAGGATTAGCACCCCTTTAGAGGGCATCGCATGCCTCCAGAGGTGACATCCAGAGGGGACACTGTCTCTTCTCTAGGGTCCCAACCAAAAGGGTAAAACCCAAATCTAATTATGAGGAATCATAAGGTAAACCCAAAGAGTAAAATAAATAGCCTGCATGGTCAAAAATGTCAGTGTCATAAAAGATAACCTGAAGCATTGCTAGAGATAAAGAGGGATATTTCATGGGGTTAAAGCAGTCAAAGAAGAGGATATCACAATCCTAAATGTACATGCACCTAATAATATAGCTTCTAAATATATAGGCCGCAACTGACACAAGTAATAAGAGAGATAGTCACATCCATAATCACAGTGGGATATTTTTAACTCGTCTTTTACAATAGTTGATAAAACAAACAGTAGAGATGTAGAAGACCTGAACAATACAATTTAAAAATTTAACCTAAGTGACACATATAAATATATAAAACACTGCATCCAACAATGACAAATCAGTATTCTTTTCAGGTGTACGTAGAACATTTACCAAAATCAACCATAACCTGGGCCATAAAGAAAGCCTCAACCCGGCTGGTGTAGCTCAGTGGATTGAGCGTGGGCTGCAAACCAAAGTGTCGCAGGGTCGATTCCCAGTCAGGGTACATGCCTGGGTTGCAGGCCATGACCCTCAGCAACCACACATTGATGTTTCTCTCTCTCTCTATCTCCCTCCCTTCCCTCTCTAAAAATAAATAAATAAAATCTTAAAAAAAAAGAAAGCCTCAAAAAAGACTTTGAAAGATTAAAATAATTCAGAGTATATTTTCTGACGGCAGTAAAATTTAAGATACAAATTAGTGTGATAGGTGGAATAATGCACTCCTTTGTAAAGATGTCTACATCCCAATTTCTGGAATCTGTCACTATGTTACGTTACATGGAAAGTGAAAATGTAGGATGTGGATGGGACTAAGGTTGCTGATCAGCTGACCTTGAGGTAGGAGATTGTCCTGAATTATCCAGGGAGGCCCAGTGTAATCACTAGGGCTCTTATTAGTGGGAAAGGGAGGCAGGAGGGTGAGTGTCTGGGGGTGCGGTGTGAGAGAGACTCAGCCAGTCACCGCGAGCTCTGATGACGGAGGAAGGGGCCCGTGCCAAGGAGCGAAGGCAGCATCCAGAAGCTGGGAAAGTCCAGAAACAGGTCCTCACCAAGAGCCTCTGAAAGGGAGGGAGTCCTGCCAACACCTTAATTTTAATTTTTAGACCAGTGAGACCTATTTTGGATTTCTGAAATCCATAACAGTAAGAAAATAATTTGTTGTTCTAAACCACTAGGTTTGTGGTAATTTGTTATAGCAGCAATAGGAAATTAATGCAATAAACAGCAAAAGGATAGTAAGAAAATGCCTAACTGCCTGGAAATTAAACAATACACTTCTGAATATTCCATGGGTCAAATAATAGATCAAAATAGAAATGGGAAAATGTTTGAACTGAAAGATAGTGGTGGTATAGCTTATCTAAACTTGTAAGATACAGTTAAGCAGTGCTTAAAAGAAGTATGCTTAAATACATATATTAGAACAGAATATTGAAAAAAATCAAGGATTTAAACTTTCATCAAAAAGAATCTTATTTTAAAAAAATAGTGAGTCAAACCTGAGGAAAGTAGGTAGTAGGAAATAATAAATGTAAGAGTAAATACCATGAAACAGTTAAAACAAAAACCAAAAAAACAGAGAAAATCAACAGAGACAGAAGTCCTCTGAAAAGATGAATAAGGAAAATGGAAAAGTTTTTTAAAAAGAAAGGAGACAATGCACATTACTAACATATGAGTGAATAAGAAAAAATCTCTATAGGCCCTACAGACATAAAAAAGATAAAAACCTATATGACCAATTTAAATGAACACATTTGACTTTTTAAATAAAATAGACAAATTTCTCAAAAATGCAACTTACTAAAGTAGAGAGGAAAATAATCAGAAAATATATATAGTCCTGTAATTATTAATGGAACTAAATCAGTTATTAATAACTTTTACACAAAGGAAACACGTAGACCCAATGACTTCACCAGGAAATCCTCCTAACATTTAAGGAAGAAGTAACAACAATTGTACATGAACTTGTTAGGAGAATAAGAAAAGAGGAACTGCTTCCTAACTCTACGAGGTCAGCGTAACCCTGCTACTGAAACCTGGCAAGTATGATACAAGGAAGAACAATTATAGGTCAAATTCTCTCATGAGCTTATATGCAAAAATCTCAAAATATTAGCAAACAAAATCCACTAATATATATTTGAAAAATATATCATAAGTGGGGTTTACTCCAGGAATGAAAGGTAGTTTAATATCTGAAAAAAAAAAAGTAACCAATCAATGTAATTCATCACACTAACAGCAAAGAGGAGAAACATAACACAATCATGTTGATAGATGCAGAAATAGTATGACAAAAGTAAAACAGCTAATTGTATTTAAAAAAACTCTTAGCAACTAGAAATATAAGGGAACCTATAGCAAACATCATATTCAATGGTGAAATATTTAAAGCTTTCTCCTTGAGAAGCCAGACTGGGTGAAGAGTGTCACCTATCAGCAATTCTATTCAACATTGTACTGGAGGTCCTAGCTAGTTTAATAAGGTAAGACAAGAAGTGAAAGGCATAAAGATTGGAAAGGAAGAATGAAAAATGTTATTATTCATTCATAGTATGACTGTTTATGCAGATAATCCAAAACAATACACATAGAAACACTACATATAAAAGCAGAACTGGAAAGTAAGACACTGGCAACTTGTAAAAAATGTAAAAGGTATTGCACATTTTAAAAGATGTATTCCTAGCCCTGGCTGGCGTAGCTCAGTGGATTGAGTGCGGGCTGGGAACCAAAGTGTCCCAGGTTCGATTCCCAGCCAGGGTACACGCCTGGGTTGCAGGCCAGAATCCCCAGCAACCGCACATTGATGTTTCTCTCTCTCTCTCTCTATCTCCCTCCCTTCCCTCTCTAAAAATAAATAAATAAAATCTTTAAAAAAAAAGATGTATTTCTAATAACATAGGTACAAGGACCATATTTATACATTTTCATTATGTTAAGTTTACATATAGTAACAACCTTCATAAATAGTTATTGAAGGCATTAATAGGAAATAGATTTTCTGACTTGGAAAAACATAACATGCTAGGATTTTTAAAGAATTAAAGTACTGAAAAAGTCACTATCGGCTAAATTGGGAGAAAGCACTATATTACTACACAGCTGGGGGAAGCATAGGCTGACCCACATGTTTTAGAAATCAGTTCAACAGCATATATCAGAGCCTAATCACATTCATATACCATTCATTCTTGATTCAATAATCTTGCTTAGGGGAAATTATCCCAAGGGAATAATCCAAAATTTAAAAAGTTAAATGCATATAGATGATTAATGCAACATGATCTATAATAAAATATGTCTAGCAATAGGAAGTTACTTATTTAATTCTAAAATTTGGGTGATAGGCATAGTTTGGACCCTGACTCCCTCCAATCTGCCACTGTTATCCACTTAGGATAATTATTTAAGCTCCATGAACCTCAATTGCCTCATCTGTAAAATGGGGATAATAATAGTAGTGACTTGAGTTGCTGTGAGCACTGAGTGAGTTGCTAAATGTAAAGCTCTTAGAACTTTGGAATATTAAGCACCCATTATTATGAAAAATATTATAAACCAAATGTAATATTTTAATACTTAATAATAATGGTGATAATTTTAAAAAAGATTTTATTTATTTATTTTTAGAGAGAGGGGAAGGTGGGGAGAGAAACATCAGTGTGCGAGAGGCACAGCCATCAGTCACCTCTCACATGTCCCCAACTGGGGACCTGGCCTGCGACCCAGGCATGTGCTCTGACTGGGAATTGAACTGGTGACTTTTTGGTTTGCAGGCTGGCATTCAATCCACTAAGCCACACCAGCCAGGGCAATATTGGTGATAATTTTAAGTGAACAAAACAAAATGTGGCTTGTAAAATCATATCATATATATTTACATACATACCATATACCATGTATATATTTTACAAAAGGTATATTATTCCCACATTCTATAATGACCTTGTTAAATCATATAGATATATAGGCAAGGAGTTGGAAGAGAACATGGACAAATAAAAATTTTTAATCAACAGATTTGTGGGGGATCTTTTCGTTTGGCAAATTGTCATTTTATTTCATTTCAGTGAACAAAGAAAAAAAATACCCTTGAACGCTTTGGAGCAAACAATACAGAAAAGACCCATAGCCTCTACCTCTTTGTCTTGAATGTTAGGGTCGGCATTATTTTCCATGAGCACTGCCATGCAGTTGATGTATCCCCCATAGGCAGCGCACTGCAAAGGGGTTCTTCCTGCGTAATCTTGCACATTTGGGTTGATCTTATTTTCTATCAATATCTGGCACACATCAGCATTTCCTCCCAGCGCTGCCCAGTGTAGAAGAGAATGTCCATCTTGGTCAACTAGATCTACCCTTGCTCCACCTGAAAAAGCAAGAATACAATGAAAATGACTAGTACAGAGAACATTAATCAACATTTTAAAAAATACATAACAGTCCCCAGAATGCTTTACACTTAGCAAAATATTTCCATGTATATTATCTCCATCATATTTTGACAGTAGGCTTATACATTGGTCAGCATAGGCATCGTGTCTCTTTTATGGAAAATGCAACAAAATCAGGCAGGTGAAGTGACTTTGCCAGAATCACACAACCACCAACAGGTGGAGCCAGGCCCTTGCGTTTCCTTATGCCAGGCCTGGCGCTCTTCCCTTCATCCTCCTACCCAGGTGGCTCTCTGCCATGTAAGGCTGTATATTTCAGACAGTGAATGCAACAATTCTGACCTTCGACAGTGACTTAGTAGGAGCCTTCTTAATAACGAACCTTTAATAAGTGTCTGAATGACATCTTTGTGTCCCATCTCACAGGCTCGGAAAAGTGGAGTGTGTTTCATGACATCAGTAGCATCTACTTGAGCGTTATTTTCCAATAACAACTTCACGGTGCTGACATGGCCAGAAAGGGCAGCAGCATGTAAAGCTAAAAAGGGAGCAAGAGAAAGTGGTGAACTCTTTAATAACAACTTTACCTCTTTATTATTGTAACTATGTATCTTTTCCTTCTTTGATTTCTCCATCATTTTGGCTAAATGCAAGCTGATCTTAAGGATTCTCTATTTTTCACATTTGTAGATTTCTATCTTCCTATTCATACATATTACACTTTTCTCCTTTCCTGCTACATTTCTCATCTCGCTGTTTTCTTCCTTTCCATCCTGTTGGTCTGAAATGGTCCCCTCTGCTTAGTTACTACTGTACTATTTTTTCCTTTCTCAGAGATCAAGAGAACAAAAAAACGACACAGAGAAGTAATTTAAATGAGACAGGCAATTCTGCCCACCAACACACTCAATAAGCATACACTCGAGGGACGGTGCGACATCACTGGTTTCTCCAGCGGGTTACACGAGCTCTTCCTGCGGTTGGTCTGTGAACCCGCGTGCTACTGGGAGTTTGCACATCTCACTGCATCGAGTGCATTCTTCATACAACATGGCTCTGGCAGTGTCCGCAGGGCCCGATTTGTGACTGAGCAATTTGTTTCAGCATTGGAGAGCACATCGAGGTGGAATGTGGTCTCTCCTCTGGTGCTCTTGGGAGGGGTTTGAACAATTATTGTGACTACACGTGAGTCTCACGTCAGGCTGACACCTGCCTACGTTACTCCATTCTAGTGCTTGTCTCGTGCCACTGTTCTTTAGATTACTCTTTAAATTCTGCTGAATTTGCCTGGGTAACTCTCCAGAGGCTTGGGCCAATTGGTTCTAAGTATGATGCCTCTACAGTGCCCAAAACAATGTTTCTTTCATAAAGTGTGACCCATAAGTCCTGGCTGGCATAGCTCAGTGGATTGAGCGCGGGCTGTGAACCAAAGTGTCGCAGGTTCGATTCCCAGCCAGGGTACATGCCTGGGTTGTAGCCCATAACCCCTAGCAACTATACATTGATGTTTCTCTCTCTTTCTCCCTCCCTTCCCTCTCTAAAAATAAATAAATAAAATCTTAAAAAAAAAAGTGTGACCCATGAACCAGAACCTAGGATACCTATAAAATTGCAGGTTCCTAGAGATTTGTTGAGATGTACTATGGGCTGGGTATTAATGTGATGAGAATTCAGCAGGGAACAAAACAGGTAAGGTTACATTCTAGTAGGGGAATAAAACACTCCCCAAATATGTAAATAAGAAACTATTAAATAGTGACGAATAGTTGAAGTATAGTATAGTTGATTGAAGTAATGAGTAATAAAAGACATTTTAATTTCAGAATGACTGGGGTCACTCTTGATTTGGGGTGAGTTTTGATTGGAATTAGGGAAAGCCTTTCTAAGGAGATGACATTTGAGACCTGAATGATAAGAAACAGAGAGAAATGCAGCGATCTGGAGAGAGAGCAGCTTGGGCAAAAGGAACAGTTAGTACAAGGACGGGAATGAATCCATGCTAAGGAAGGCCAGGAATCTGCAGCACAACCAGTAGAAAAGGCCAGATCATAAACGGCCATGCAGGTCAGAGTGTTGGAAGACACTGAAAGGCTTTAAATAGGTGAGGGATATTTTCTGATTTGTGGATTAAACAGAAAGCACCCTAGCTGTTCTGTGAAAATGCATTGTGGTAGAGTAGAATGAAAACAGGGAGGCCAGTTAAAACTATCGCAGTGGACTGGGTGAAAGATGATGGCTTGAACTAGGGTGGCAGGAGTGGTGATGGAGAGAAGTAGAAAGATTCAGAATGTGTGTTGGAGGTGGAGTCAACAGAACTTGTGGATGGGATGTGAACAGGATCTTTGTCCATACAGTCTGGAAATGTGCATTTCGAGGAACAGCCCTGGTAATTCTCATGTACACTTGAGTTTGAGAATGCTGACCTAAATGGATAAATTCTGGTTTGGCCCACACGAGATCCAGACAGGTGTGAGAGGTTTCACATGTCTGAAGTACTGTCACATGGAAGAGAGCACAGAGTGGAATGTTCAGGTTGACAAATTTTGGCTTAGGACAAGGAAGGACATTCTAGTAGGGTCAGGATAGCAGGGGAGCAGTGCGTTCCCTGTACTGGAACTGTTCAGAGGCTGAAAGACCACTACTGAAGAATGTTGTAATGCAGGTTCCAGCATGAAACACCTATGCTACTTCAGTTGTTTTCACATTTTAAGAGAATAGGAATGTTTTTCACCCAAATGAAATTTTATAAAACACTAAACAGCTAAGAGCTGTTCTGCTAAAGCAGGAGCAGAGGGTTATCCACTTAAGCATCCACACCCTCAGCTCACTTCAGGTACCTCTATAGAGACCGGTCACTCTGAAGAACATGGTCTGGAAAACCTTGGACAAGATCTAATTTTAAGGTATTTTCTAATTCTGAAATCGTGTAATGCTGTGACATGGCATCAGGATACAATAGATAGATACTCTTCAGATAAATATCAATGTCAAATTAAAAAAAAAAAGGACACAATGTCAACTAAGCAAAAAATAGAACAGGTGATCTTATTAAAGGAAATTCCCCATTGCTGAGTGTTTGCATTTATTTATTTTAAAATAACCCTAGGCTTAAATATTGTTGCTTCCTCTTTGAAAAAATGCTGCAAGTTTACACAGAAGTGCTATTTTTTTAAAGTTAAATTTATCTTATTCAAAATCTTAAACATATTCAAAAGGAAAGGCAGTAGCCCGATGAAGCCATCATCCAGCTCCGGCATCACCGGCACATGGCTAACTTGCTTCCTCTAGCCGCCCTCTACCCCCTTCACTTCTGATTATTTTTATTAAAGTTCTAGAGTCATATCCTTCCGTTTGTAAATATTTTAGTAAGCATATTTAAAAGACATGTTTTTTTGTTTTTTTATAAACACAACCACTGTACCAATTAGGAACCATTTAGGAGACAGAAACCACGCCAGACATGCTCACAGAGAGAACTTAATAAAAGAACTGTTAGCTATGTACTGAAGAACTAAAAAAGCCAAAAGGGAAGATGAAGGTATCACAGAGGTAGTAAATGCAAAAAACAGCTACAAATTCTAGGACTGGAGGAACAAAAACAAGAGGATGGAAATATTAAAACTTAAAAAGCTTAGACGCAGAGCCCTGCAGAGCGGAAACTCAGACCTCTGAGGAGGGTCTCTGCTTGGCTGGCTAGTTCTGGTGCCTCTGAGGAGGGTGCCGAGGGTGCTTTGAGGCTGGCACTGTGAGGGATGGAAAAACTGCAAAGTAAAATTAACACTACCATTGGAACAAAGTACAGTGATGAACGCAGGAAGAACAGGAAACAGAAACAAGAATAGTAAGGATACGGTAATATGTAATCCCCCGTTGCTCAGCCAGATTTCCAGTCTTGCTCTACTGCCCCCTGGGGGCTGATTCTAACAGGGCATCGGGTGGCAAAGGGGAAATGTGGTTTGCAGAGCTCCAGGCCCAGCATTCCAAAGATAGTCCCATTATCATACCTAATAATTATTAACAAAAATTCTGTAATAGCAAATATCCAGATAGTGTTTATATTTTCTTGATGGCTTTATCATTTTTAAAGAACATTTTATTTATTTATTTTTAGAGACAGGGGAAGAGAGGGAGAAAGAGGAGAGAAACATCGATATACAAAATATATTGATTGGCTGCCTCTCACATGCCCCCCACTGGGGACCTGGCCCACAACCCAGACATGTGCCCTGACTGGGACTCAAACCAGCGACCCTTTGGTTCACAGAACGTCACTCAATCCACTGAGCCACACCAACCAGGACTGGCTTTATCATTTTTTCCTAGTTTATTTCTTTGAATCAAGATCCAAATAATGTCTGTATATTGTGGTTGATAAGAACTTTTTAAAGCAAATTTGAATCTACTTATTATTACTATTTTTTGCTTTTTTTTGTTTTTGTTTTTCAATTATAGTTTAGAACTCTTTTTTTCAATGGGGAGGATAAAATAATGCTACAGAGGGATGATGGAGAGGAACTAACTTTCACAGACAAGAAATGTCAAGAAGCATCTCTGACATATAATAAAACCCTTAGGAGAAAGAGCCCAGGGAGTTAATGAATCTGAGAAAAAGTTAAGTCTGAACTCCAATCACAGGGCACATTAGAAAGGCAACTTTGGCCAAAAGGATGCAAGTATTCTCACTTATACCTCATTAAAATACATGAGAAGTTAAGCTAAAAGTAAGGCTGGTGATAAAGTGAAAGGCTGCATATTAATGGAAGTCAGAAAAAAAAATGAAGTGTTTAAACCATTTATAAACTCAATGATGTCCTGTGTGTCTGTGCTATACCTCTTGAGAAGTTTAAGGTCTGCTGTGAGGCTTTATTAAGAAATAATTTTGAAAGTTAAAGCCTTCATCAAAATTCACATTATCTAAAAACTCTTTTAAAAAAATAATTGAGAGAGGGTGTAGGTGGAGGTACAGGGAGAGATTATTAGGGTAGTGACTTCCCTCTCAACTCTTCCCCCAGGGCTGGGTCAATCGTTTTGGTGGCACAGAAAGGTCATATCCAGTAGAATATGTAGATGCAAATGGCTCTGGTGTGTTTCTACAAATAAGAGAACATAGCATTGAGAAGCTTGTAGTGTTAGTGCCCTGGTGTGATTTTCTTTCATTCCCACTTGTAATGAGGATCAGTATACCAGAGAGAAACCTCCAGCTGACAATGAAGGCTAAAAAACCTGTACGTCTCTGATTAATGAAAACATAGTTGAAGGTCTCTCTTAGTAGAAAAAGAGATGGAAAGAAGTATCTAGTAAGAGCCTCTGATGCAAAGTTGACTTGAAGCTTTGCAGCTTCTGGAGTCACGGAGGTTATCTCTAAAATAGCAGGATGAGGTAAAGCTATTCAAATCTGAGAAAAGAGCATATTAAGCGAGACTGAAGAGAATATACTTAGATGTGTGTATTCCTAAAAATAATGCTAAAGTTTTGAAAATACAATGAATAACTACTAAAATGTGTACTTTTAATGAAAGGTTTCTGCTTTTTTACATAAAGATAATCAAAGAGTTCCCACAATCATGTCTAAGGAGCAACCAGGGTTTTAAATCAAATGCCACCATTTGCCTGGTAAAAAAAGAGGCTAATTTTAGCTGTCATACTTGGAGGAAATAAGGCCTATGAGTGATATCCTGACAACCTAAGCGGAAGAAGTAAAGATGAAAGTCAAACAACACTGAGTTAAAGAGAATGATTCTAAAGTACTGTTGTACCAGTTTTAAAGCGTCACCTACATTTTGGAGCCTGAATGAAAGCAAATCAGTCATGTCCACCAGTTCTTACCGGTGCCTCCGTACTTGTCTGCCATGTTGATGTCAATGTCAGACTTTAAACTCAGCATAGTCCTAAGGACGTCATCACTGCCTTTCCCAGCGGCCCACATAAAGGACGTTCTTCCTTCGAGGTCGGAATCATCTTTCACCGAAGGATGTTCTAAAAAGACTTTAACTGTTTCCTGTAAGAAAACTTCATTTAAAACTTTGAGACATTAGAGTAGTATTTTTTAAATTATATTTTATTGATTATGCTATTACAGCTGTACTGATTTTTCTCCCTTTGCCTTCCCTCCACCCAGCACCAACCACTCCCTCAGGCAATCCCCCCACCACTGTTCACATCCATGGGTCATGTGTGTAAGTTCTTTGGCTCCTCCATTTCCTATACTGCACTTCACATCCCCAAGGCTATTCTGTATCTACCTAATTTTACTTAGTTCCCTCACCTCTTTACCCATTCCCCCACAGCCCCTACCATCTGGCAACCATCAAAGCACTTTCTGTAACCATGATTCTGTCTCTGTTCTTCTAGTTTGTTTAGTTTATTTTTTAGATTCAGTTGTTGATAGATTTGTATTTTTTGCCATCTTGTTGTTCAGAGTTTTGATCTTCTTCTTTTCCTTAAATAAGTCCCTTTAACATTTCATATGATAATGGTTTGGTGATGATGAACTCCTTCAGTTTTTTCTAGTCTGGGAAGCTCTTTATCTGCCTTTTGATTCTAAATGACAGCTTTGCTGGGTAGAGCAGTCTTGGTTGCTTTTCATGACTTGGAGTATTTCATGCCAGTCCCTTCCAGCCTGCAAAGTTTCTTTTGAGAAATCAGCTGACAGTCTTATGAAAACTCCCCTGTAGTTAACTAATGTCTATTCTGTTGGTGCTTTTAAAAATCTCTCTTTGTCTGTAGCCTTTGGCATTTTCTTTATGATGTGTCTTGGAGTGGGCCTCTTTGCATTCATCTTGTTTGGGACTCTCTGTGCTTCCTGGACTTGCATGTCTATTTCCTTCACTAAATTAGGGAAGTTTTCTTTCATTATTTTTTCAAATAGATTTCCAATTTCTTGCTCTTTCTTTTCTCCTTCTGGCACCCCTATGATGTGAATGTTGGACCTCCTGAAGTTGTCCCAGAGGCTGCTTATATTATCCTCATCTTGAGGGGTTCTTTTTTCTTCTTGTTATTCTATTGGTCATTATGCTTCATATCACTGATCTGATTCTTGACTTCATTCACTCTACTGTTGTGAACCTGAAAATTATTCTTTATTTCAATTAGTGTATCCTTTGTTTCTGAATGAATCTTTTTTATGTTGCTGAGGCCCTCACAAAATTCCTGAGCATCCTTATAACCAGTGTTTTGAATTCTGCATCTGATAGATTGCTTATCTTCATTTCATTTAACATTTTTTTTTCTGGAGTTTTGATCTGTTTTTTTATTTGGGCCATATTTCTTTGTCTCCTTGTTTTGGGAGCCTCCCTGTGTTTGTTTCTGTGTATTAGGTAGAGCAGCATTGAATCTATGTCTTGGTAGTGTGGCCTAATGTAGTAGGTATCCTATAGAATGCAATGGCACAGCCTCCCCTACCACCCAAGTTGGGTACTCGAAGTGTGCCCTTTGTGTGGGCTGAGTACACCTTCCTCTTGTAGTTGAGCCTTGGTTGCTGTTGGCAGATCAATGGGAGGGATTTACCCAGGTCAGTCAGTTGCAAGGATTGGCTGTGAAAACTGACCACCAACCTCTGCCCTGTGGAGGATCAGCTGTGCTGGGGCAGGGTGGTGATGCTCCCGTGTGGTCTGTAGCTGACCACTGGATGAGCTGGCCCTGAGGTTTCCTGGGTGGTATAGATCAAGGTCAACCTTAACCTATGTTTTCCCCATGGCTACCCTGCCTGAGTTATAAAGCAATATGAGGTGGCTGCTACTTAGCTGGGCTTGGAGATTCGCAGGCAAAGCCAAGCTGTGAATCTAGGCCGACTGCTGCTAATGCTAGGCCTAGGGTTCACTGAGGCCAGCTGTTGTTTGTTCAATAGAATTTAGGAAGTTGTGAAGCAGGAGCTAAGACCAGTCATTCCTATGGAAAAGCAGTAATTTGGGTGGGGCAGAGTTTCTGGTGATCTCCAAGATGGGTCAAACAGTGTTGGTCAGGTTGATGGAGTCTCAGATATGACACCAGCTTGCCAGCTCTGTGAGGGGAGTGTTTAGAAAAGGGACAAAGGCCTCTGCTCACCTGGATGCCAGGCACTTCAGTTTCTGCCTCTGTGCCATTGGTGCCTTTCAAGCTCCTACCTGGATGCTGGAGCTCAGAAGGAGTAAGTCTGACTAAGTCCATGTGTGGGTTTTTAAAGAGGAACTGCTTGGGGCTCCAGCAGTTTTTTTCACTGACTCAATCCCCGATTTTTGTAGCCAGAAAATGCGGGGTCTTATGTTCCTGGCGCTGGAACCCTGGGCTGGAGGGCCTGGTGTGGGGCTGGTACTCCTCGCTGCCACGATATCCCTCTGGAATTTTTATCCACCACACGTGGGTGTGGGACCAGCTTGTTTCATGTTTCTGCCCCTCCTACCAGTCTGGATGGATGTGGTTTCTTTAATTCTGTAGTTGTCAGACTTCCATTCAACTCGATTTCTGACGGTTCTGAGTGATAGTTGATCTATATTTTAACTGTAATTTTGATGTGGTTGTGTGAAGAGGCGAGCCATGTCTGCTTATGCCACTACCTTGACTGGACGTCCTAGAGGAGTATTTATTATGGTAACAGAGCCACTGTCACATGTGACTTCCACTGGGAAGCAAAGTAGTTTTCCTTGCTTTTGAATCAAAAGAAATTATTGTAGGATTTTTTGCTATTGTTGATGTTTTTCAAAAAGAGAACAGAAACCTCTTACAAATTACTAAAGTACAAAAATATCAAGGGCTTTGAAATTGAGTTCAGAAAAAAATCATTTCTGGGATTGGCAGATTATCTAAAATGAGTATTTCTTTGGGTAAACATCCATAATGTTCTACCTTTGTTTTTCAGTCCCACTGGCACAGTCACTGAGTTACTGGTGTCTGCACCTACGTTAAATTGGGAATAAAACTTGGGTTCAAGGTGTTGGGCAAGTCACTTAATCTCTTGGAACCTGGGTTTCCTCACTGGTAAATGGGGATACTATGACCTGTCTTGTAACATGTTCTATCCCACAGTCTGGCGTTGAAACGTGGATTGAATTCTGATTTCCACTGATTGGCTAGACTGGGCCAACTAATTCTCTTATCTACTTGTAATAAGAAAAAAGGTCCTCTCCAAAATCTACTTTGTATTTTTTCTGAGATTTTGGAAGATAAAAGAAGATAATGGTTTGCCAACACTCTAGGTAATAAATAAAATAAATTTTTATGAATGCCAGGAAGAAGGACTACAGCTATAGTTGTTGTGCATACCAGAGACAGAGAAGGGTGGAAAAACATATTTTAGCAATCTGAGTACTCAATGTACTCAATGAAACTTTTGGGAAGGACAGAAAGATAGAATTGTACTATGCTGATGACAGCATTCTTACAATTTAATGAAACCAAGGGTTGCGCTATGCATACCATGTAGAAGACATCAAAATCAACTGTGACCGGTTTAATGTGGGCCTCTTGGATGAGTCTCCAGTTCTTGGTAGCTACTCATACCCAGGAGGCTGAAGCAGGCTGGACACTATCAGGTTATGGCTAGACTGAGTAGCATACTGGATGAGAAAGTGCTTTGTAAGTTACAAAGGATGGCTTACTAAGTGAAGAACTGTTAATATTATTCAATAGCTTTGGAAATATCAATAATTCACATGGTTGCTTTCTCAGGTATATAATGTACATTATTATTAGCAGTGGTAATGGTAAGAATGCTTGCTATTTCTTGAGTACCTACTCCGTACCAGGACTACAGTAGGCACTTACATAAAATTTTTCTGAGCCTTACAACAATCCTAAAAGAAAAGGTGTAATTATCATCATTTTACATATGAAGAAACTAAGACTCAAAGAGGTTAAGAAACTTGTGCAAGGTCACACAGCTAGCAAATAGCCCAGTCGGGAAGGTTTGCCTCGTTCTGATGCTTCGCCACACTGCTTTCAGGACAACTGTAGACTGCTGAGCGCTAAGCTGTCCTTAGTGCTATAGAAGCTACAAAACATGAAGTACACTTTTAACTGTTTTAAGTTAAAACAGTTAAAGCATTACTCTGACCAGTTAAAATAAAAACTGTCTAACACTTCACATGTGAGTAAGAATTTCATAAAAACTCAGATTATCACTGGCATTTCAACAGTATGAACAATTGTTGAAAGACAACTGCTGTACAAACACCCACGAATGAGCACATGTAAAATGGTGAAATTCGAATGAGGTCAGTGGATTGTATCAATGTCAATTTCTGGTTTATGAAATTGTGTTATGCTTTTGCAAGATGTTACCATGAGGTAGATGGTGTAAACCCGAACATGGGATCTCTCTGTTTCACTTCTTACAACTGTTTCACTTTTTACAACTGCATATGAAGTACAATCATATCAAAATTAAAATTTAATTAGGAAAAAAGGCAACTCATGTTTCACTTACAGCAAAGTTACTCTGCGCTGCATAGTGCAAGGGTGTTGCTCCTTGGCTGTCAGAGGGGATGGTTCCAGATTTATTTCTTTCTAACAGGAGATGGACAATCTGTGCATGGCCTGAAAGCAGACACAAGTTAGCTATCACATACAACGGACGTTAATTAATGTATAATCTATTTAAAGGAAAGGGGTGAGAAAAATCTCTAGCACATAATACAAGATTCTAAATGGTTGCTGAGTAGCGGCCCCCAGTTTGGCCTCTTCTCTGACTTCTCATTAAAATACTATGATAATGTAGAACAAAGGTAAACATTTATAATACTAAAAACTTAAATCTTCAACCGGGAAGGAAATGACATTAATTACTACTACCAGATTGAGAAAAACGTGTAGTAGGCATCAGCTTGTTGCATTCCGTGGCTTCACTCTGTACACCTGCCCATCAGAAAGGTGGAAGGTGCATTAGGAGCCGGCCGCACTCAGCCATCCATGTCTGGTCTCCAGGCTCCGCTACACAACCAGTCTGAACTGCCCGGCTGTTCTCTTCTACTGTCCAGGAGGACAAACTGTAATGTAATCTGCGGGAATCTCTAAGGCCTGCTAGCCATCCCCTCTAACTTCCCTCCCCCAATCTTTAACATCTAAGCAATAATTTCAAATCCCAGAAAACAAGTGGGCAGGAATGATGAGGTGGTGGTAGAGAAGACATTCTGCAATGCATTCTGGAGGACGTGGTGTCCACAAGCGGAGAACTGCAGAAAGGATCAAACAAGGAACAAACCTGATAGTATATTTAGGAAACCTGAATTTTATAAATTCTCTTGCTTCAGCATATTGAGGAACCAGGCAATGAAGGAGATGCCACATGAGCAGAGCAAGGAGACATTGCATGACAGCCAGGCAGAGGAAAAGGACTTGAGTGAGAGCTGTGCTCATCGACCTGCTCTCCAGCCATGGTCTGAGACGGAGTTCTCCAGAACACAAACAGACAAAAGTAGGATCAAAGGCAATCTACGTCACGTGGTCAACGGAAACACACCTTATCTTGTTTGAAGGGTAAAACACCATCAGGAAGATGAAGAACATATCAGAAGTGATCTAGAGAAGGATCCAGAGGAAGATCAGGACACTGTTTGGCACCTTCGACTAAGTGCAAAGAGATGGCCTCTATGAAACGAAACAGAATATCCTAAGAAGAAAATGGGTGGAAATGAGAAGATAATGAAAGGAAGCAGAAAGGCAGATAGAGATAAAAGGAAAGATGGATGAGAGAAGGAAGTCAAAATACAATCTATAAGAGACAGAAAGAATGCAGAACTTACGGAACAAAAAGTCACTTCAGTGACGTGGAGACAAATTTATGGAATCCTCCCAGAATGCACAAAAAAAGGAAAAAGGGATGAAACTGCACATTGAAATTAACTCTGAATAACAATAATAAATCTGATTATAAAACTGAATGCAAGTGTAGAATTCACTTTCAAAAGAGACAATATATAATTTAAAAACTAGAGCCACAATAATAATTGGGAAAGAAAACCTCAGGTTACACTAACAAATACTATGAGGGTTATAAGTGTGCTAAATTCCTCGGTTTAAATGGGTGGGAATCAACAGATGCAGTTTTGCTCTTGACTTTGTCTCAGGCTTAAAAAGTTTTGATCCATTTAAAGGTAACCATTAATAAAACTTAAATAACCTCCTGAAACATTAGCTAATTCCAAACCAAATAACAACAAACTTAATCCGTACACCAAAAGGCAGAAAACAAAGGAAACAGGAAAACAAAAGCAAAAAATTCTTTGAAAAACCAAAAACACCAATAATACTCAAACAGCAGAGGAACAGAAAATGTTACAAATTATACACCTTATAAAAATGACTATTAACGGATAAAACTCCTTCACCAAAAGAGAAAAACTCGTATTACTCCCCAAATCAGACACATATATGCGCTTTCTCATCTAAAAATGTGATTCCCAAAAATGTTAAGTAAAAGGCATACCAGAAAAATATAAAGAAAAAACATAAAATATGATTGTATTAGCATGAACATAAAATTAAAGCCCTCCTCCCCCAAAATAAAGACATTGATTTTGAAGAGGATTATTTTGCATTTATATTTGTCAGTAAATGTGCATTACTTTCATGATAAAAATTAAAACATGATGTAGAAATTAAAATATGACAGAGAACACATTTATAATACTAAAATTTAAACACAGATATTTAGGTATAAAATAATGCCACATAATTAAAAATTAAAATAATTAAATAGAAGACGGGGGTCTGGGAGAGAGGGGGCATAGAAAGTCTCCTATACTCATGCAGTTCCTCCTCCTGCTGATCTTTTCTTCACACTCCACTCACCCAGTAAAGCTGCCCAGTGAAGCGGGGTTCGAAACAGGTTATCGTAAGACGTGATATTGCAGCTTTCGTACGAGGTCAGGACATCCACCACCGTGACGTTCCCATCGGCGACTGCAAAGTGAAGAGGCGTCCGGCCCTCGTAGTCTTGCCAGTTCAGTAAGGACTCCGTTGGGGCGGCATCCTGTTTTTAAGGAGCCAGAGACTTCAGACACACAGAACCCTCAGTCAATCACATCTGACAAAAGTATTAACTGAGCCGTTTTCTAAACCTCCGTTCTCTCAGAACAGCAAAGTGATAAAATTCAGAAAAAAGCAGTCTATGTCTTTCAAATGTATTTTCATACTGAACTGTAAAGAGTACAGACAAGATACGATAAACACCATGTACTGACTATCTAGATGAAATAGGTATCAAAACACCTATTTTGTGCTTTTGCACCTGTTATGGACTGAGCAAACACTGTATAGTTTGTTCTTTTGCTACCTATGTATACCTCCATCAATGATACATAAATTTTGTATGTGTGTTTTTTAATATTTACATTTACACACTATACTCCATATGTCCTTTGGCAATGTTTCTTTCAACAGCAGACTTTGGGATACCTATGTTGACACTAGTTCATCTGTTAAAGCACAGGGTAGTTCCCCATTCTCCTACTGAGGGACACCTAGGTTATCTACATTTTCCCCACTATCAGCAATAATGCTGCGATGAACATGCTTCCTTCACCTGTCCCCTTGTGGCACACAGGTGAGGTTTTCCTCTAGACTAGAAATCTCGCAGGGCAGTGTCTGGGTTGAAGGAAATCTGCACCCCCAAGGAGGTATTGCTGGGCTGTTCTGCGAGTGGTTGTACCAGTGATCAAATCCATCACAACATGTAAAAGTTCTTGTTTCCCCAAATGCTGGCACAAATCAACCATCTGGTATCATCAAGCTTACTACATTTTTCCCCTTGTAGGTATAAAAGGCATTTCATTGATATTTTAATTTTTATGTCTTTTATAAATGAGGTTGAGATTTTCAATCACATGTTTATTGGCTGTTTGGCTTTGTTTTTCTGTAAATCAACAGTTCACAACATTTACTCGTTTTTCTACTGGATCTTTGTAGCAGGTGTTACGACGCGCGGCTTAGGTCCCCTTCAGGACTAAAGGGCTGGTTTCCGCAGCTGCTTGGAGTACTACCAGCCGACGGCCCTCAACAGCCAGCCTTCTGAAATCGCTATGGCTAAAGGGGGCTGCCTCCCCCAAGGTTGTGTCCCTTCTCCGATTAGGTCAAATCAAAAGCCATGCCCTCTTGCCCCAGTGAGAGGACTCTCTGAACGACCATCTCGGATTTAGACCTGCTTCTACAGCCAGCCCATTTTACAAAGAAGAGTATGAAAGGTATTATAAATACTTCAAAAATACCACAATAGTATTATAGGCCCTTGAGTTTCCCAAGGACTAAGATATATTTCCAAGGGAAAAAAAAGACAGATCTGTGAGAAAATAAGACATGAGTGAGAATTATCCCCCAAGGACTTCAGATATTGGAATTAACACATGAAGAATATAAAAATAGCAGTCTATGAAACATGTAAGAAATAAAAATAGAATATAAAGTGAACATGATCAAGAAGATTTGAAAAAGAAAACATAGAACTTTTAGAAGTAAAAATGTAATCACTAAGATTAAGATGCAATGAACATAGTAGACAAGAGACTAGACTCAGAAGATTTAGTAAACTGGAAGACAGATCTGATGTAACGACCTAGAACTCGGTAGAGAGAGACAAGATGCTGAAAATGTAAGAGAGGAGTTAAGAGACGAGAATAAAATAAAAAGGTCTAAAATATGTATAATTAGAGGCCATAAAGGCAAGAACAAAGAGAATGCAAAGGAGGCAACATTTAAAGAGAATGGCTATATATTTTCCAGAACTAAGAAGCTATAATCAGAATGCATATTGAACAGGAAGAAATAAGCCACACCTAGACACACTGTAGCACAACTGTAGAATGCCCTACTGAGAAGAGTTTAAAAGCAGCCTGAGAAGAAAGGTAAATCATCTATAAAGAAATGGCATTTATTTTATTTTATTTTATTTTTTTTAATATATATTTTATTTATTTATTTTTAGAGAGGGAAGGGAGAGAGAGAGAGAGAGAGAGAGAGAGAGAGAGAGAGAGAGAGAGAAACATCAATGTGTGGTTGCTGGGGGTTATGGCCTGCAACCCAGGAATGTACCCTGGCTGGGAATCGAACCTGGGACACTTTGGTTCCCAGCCCGCGCTCAATCCACTGAGCTACGCCAGCCAGGGCTTAAGAAATGGCATTTAGACCAGTAACAGGCTCAAGAGTAACAATGAAAAGCAGTTTGAGAAACATAATAAAGACTGAGTTGAAAAACGTAACTATCTAGAATTGTATATACAAGAAAATTATATATTAAAGAGCAACATAGAAATGTGGAAGCCAAAGAAACTTATATGTTTGACCCATAGACATGAACTAAGTGGGGGGTGGGGGGAGATACGGGTGGAAGGGGACATGCAAGATGGAGGGAGTAAAGGGGGGAAAATGGGACAACTGTAATAGCATAATCAATAAAATATATTAAAAATAAAAATAAACAAATAAAAAAGGCAGAATGGTTAAAAAAATAGTTTATCACCAAAAGATCTACACTAAAAGAAGTTCTAAGAATTTCTAAGAGTTTTATTCCAAGAAGTAAGATAATAACCTGAGAAGGAAAATTTGAGATTTAAGAAGAAAGGCAGAACAGAGAAATTAAGTCAACATGCAAATAGAAGTAAATAATCAATGTATATACAAAATAATATCTTTTAAAGCCTAATTTCTGTGTTGCATGAAGATAGCATGAAATATTAGACTATCATAACATGTAAATTGGAATTTGGGAAGGAGTGATTAGAAAACCTCGAAAACATCTACTGTTAAATATTCAAAGTTAGTAAGTATAGCAAGTTAGTTAGATATATAATTAATGAACAAAAATATCAACTGCATTTCTAAACATGTACATGTATAACAATATATGCCCATTGATACGCTTTAAAAAGTTCCAAGTGTCACTGTTTGTAAATAGTGAAAAACTGGAAATAGTTCCAACTCTCTGTCAATAACAGAATGAATAATGTGTGGTTTATCCACAAAATGAGATACTATATAGCAGTAAAAATGAACACATCACAGCTACACACAGCAATACAGCTAACATCACCAGCATAATATTGAACAAGAAAGTCATGTTGCAAAAGAATACACAAAGTATGATTCCATATAAATAAAATTAAAAAAAAAAAATTAAAGACCAAACAACATGCAGTTTAGGGACACAAACGTATGTGGGGAAACTGTAAGGTAAGTAAGTGGAATGATAAACCCAAAATTGAGCATCCTGGTTGCCTCTGAGAAAGGAGAGAATAGAATGGCACTGGGAGGTACCCAGGGGGCTTGAAAGGTAATGGTAATGTACTGCTTCTCAAACTCAGTGATGAGTACATGAGTATTTGCCGTCTCCTTATTCTTAATATCTTACACCTACTTCACAAATATTCACTTAGATCTACTCACTGTTTAATAAAAACAAGCACAAAACAAAGGCACAGATGTATATAAATATATCCCTGGCAAGGATAAATATAAATTCACAAGAGTAGTTGATGGGGGGACAGGAATGAGCACGGCCTCGGGGGAGAATGCATCTGGAAAAGGGCACACAGAAAACTTGTACATGGTCTTAAATAGTGGTGTTAAACAGTGGCATTAACAGGTTCTACAGTATTTCATGAGTGATGTGTTCATATGTCTGTCATAATCTTTTGTTTTGTAACTTGCTTGTATGTCATAATACAGGATATGCTTTTGTGTATACTGGGTTTTTCATAAGACAAACTTTTGCTGGAAAGACCAGCCAGGCCCACCAGCACCACTGTACTCACCAGAATGCACCGCACGGTATGAACAGCGCTCGGGTCTTTGTGGTTGGCTGCCCAGTGAAGTGGGATCTTGCCTTCGACATCGGGAATTCCGATGTTGGAATCATGCTTGATAAGCAGCTTCACATGCTCAGGGTTATTGTAGTAGGCACTCCAGTGCAGAGCCGTTTGCTGCAAAATTGAGGTTCTTGAAATGACAACAATAACAACAGCAACAGTAACAGCACGGCAACAATTTTTCCCAGGCTCTTCCTGTTGTAAGAGCTTTATATGTTTATCTCACGTACTCATCGTGGCAATTCTGGGAGAAAGCACCTTTGAATTTGCACGTGATTGATGAGGAAATGGAGCACAAGGAAGGTAAGTAATCTGCTCTATGACAAAAAGGTAGTAAGTGGCCAAACAGATTTTAACCCAGATAGTCTGCCTTCAGAACCTGCCCTCTCAACCATGGCGGGTATTTAGGTCATCAGGTACTAAGAAATGGTAATACTGAGAAGGAGAAAAGCAGCCCAATCATTTACGAATAATTATCAACAAAGTAAGTGATGATTTTGATATTGCATCCAACACCTTGAGAATTTGATACAATGTTTTCAATTGTATGATCTATCAAAAAGAAGATCCATATATAGGAAATCATAGATCTGGAATTTTTTTTATATCAAAGAAGAAATATAATTTTACATGATAAACTGTTAGCCCTAGTTACTGATTAAAGATAGCTTTTGAAAATACAGCAACATTTGCTTTATTTCAGACAAAAGTTAAAAATGAACACCCTGAGTGTGCTGACGTTTCTTTGAAACCTCTCCTGCGTTCTCGGCGACGTGCCACAGTAGACTGCTTTCTCCACCGGGAGAGTTATTCGGGGGGCATGGAGAACCTGTTTAGATGCACACTGTCCCTTCCGAGTAGCGCTGTTATCAACCCAATCTGGAATCAGATCATTTAACAGCAGGAACTGAGCTCATCTGTCACAATAAACACTTGATATATACATGGTATTCATTCAAGGTGTACCTATAGGCATTTAATACAAAGAGTAACATTTTAACTTATTACCTTTTATTCAGTAATAATGGCAGAACAAAGAAGACATAAATACAATAGCAATTAATTTGCCTATAACTACATTTTCAATAAACAACACATACGGTGTCCGTAATTCTTTTCTTTTCCCACATCATGTTTGTTGTGAGTATAGTGAATATAGTTACTGAAATGTAATATTATGTCTGTTGAATCTGAGAGTAGAAGAGTTTGGCGTTGTATTATTTATGTCTTTGTTTTTTATTTTTCTAGTAACTCTCTTTTTTACTGTGGTAAAAAAAGACATATATAACATAAAATTGACTATTTTACTGTGTTTAAGTGTAGAGTTGAGTGGCATTAAGTACATCAAATTGTCATATAACCACCAGACCATCCAGCCCCAATATTTTTAGCTTCCCAAACTGAAACCCCACACCCACTTAACAACCCCCACTCCCCAACTCCTTCCGGCCCCTGGCAACCTTGATTCTGTTTCTGTGAAATCGACGACTCCAGGAACCTCCTAAGTAGAATCATACAATATTTTACCTTTTGTGTCTGACATTTTACTTAGCCTAATATCTTCAGAGTTCATCAATGTTGTAGCATGTGTCAAAATTTAATTCCTTTTTAAGGCTGGATAATATCCCACTGTATGTATACACTGCATTTCGTTTAGCCATCTGTCATCAATGGACATTTGGGCTATTTCCATTTTCTTGGCTATTATGAGTCATAATGTTTCTATGAAAATGGATGTGCAAATATCCATCCTAGTTCCTGATTTCAATTCTTTTGGGTGTATACCCTGAAAGAGTATTACTGGGTCATATGGTAATTCTATGTTTAATTTTTTTTAGAGACTGTCATGTTGTTTTTCCCAGTGGCTGCACCATTTACATTCATACCAGCATTGCACAAGATTCCAATTTCTCTCTGTCCTCACCAACACTTGGTACTTGTGTGTGTGTGCGTGTGTGTAATAACAGCAACCTAAAGGGTATGAAGCACTATCTTATTGCAGTTTTGATTTGCTTTTCCTTAATGACTAGTGATGCTGACCATCTTTTCATGGGCTTGCTGGGCCCCTTGTATATGTTCTTTGGAGAAATGTCTATTCAAGCTCTTGGCCCCTTCTTAATTGGGTGGTTCTTTTTTGTTGTTGTTTATTTTTAATGTATGTCATAAAATTATTGGTCTGTGACAGATTGGAAATTAAAAACAAACTGATCCTTTCCCTCAGATACTTTGAGAATCACGGCTCTAGGCGTTTCTCTTCCTCTCTCCTCTGGGCCTGTCTGGACTGCGTGGACCCGTTTTCCATCTGTCTTCACTGGACAGCCTGCCATCCCTGTTCAACGCAGAATAATGTACAGATACGGGGAGACAGGAGGACGTTTCTAGGCTGTTTGGGGAAGACATTATAAAGCCCAAAGACATTCACAGCTTAAGTGATTAATGGTCTTTGTGGATTTATCAAAGTGCTTTTCTAAGTAAAATATCAGCACTCTCGACGTGCTGTGAGTTAGGAATAATATTAGTTAACAGTGAGCTGTAAAATAAAGTTGATTACAGAACTCTGGGTGATGTGAGTGACTACTAAATAAAATCTGAAAACTACATAAAGAGCAAGCAGTATGAGAGTGAAAGGATTATTGCATGTAAACCCAGTAGATTTAATCGTAAGAGTTTTAATTACATGGGAGCATAAGAGTTATTAGCAAGGCTCTATAATTACATGCTAGTGGGAATGAAGAGGAATATCGCCCTTGTCTAAAGCCCACATTTTTTCCCTGTAAAAAAGTGATCGGAGTGATAACCAGTTGGTCAAAACAATGACCAATGTGTCCAATATGTTACAATTCAAGAGCAGGGAAAAGAGCGGGCCCTAGCAACAAATGCCAGAATGAATGTTAGACCCTAAGTGAAACTAATAGCATTTCATAGCTAACATTTATTGAAAGCATACGCTGCACTGGGCCTTGTGCTAAATGCTTTATATGTATTATCTCATTTTCTCTTCAACACCTTATTGTCTCCTTTCCACACATTGGAAAATTGAGGCAAAGGAGTCATCTGACCAAGGACACAGAGCAAGCATGTTATAACTTCTAGATTGAAATCCAAATAGTCTGATGCCAAAGCCAGGCCATTCAACAACTGTGCACTTAGAACAGTGCCGGCACTGGCCGCCCCAGACCTAACGCTACGGTCACTATCACAACCAGCTGTTAAGTAAACGGGTTTCTGTTTGAATTCCAGTCCTGCCACTTGGATCTTGGACAGAATTTTAATCTTTTGAGCTTCTCTTTCCCCACCTGTAAAAAGGAGATGATGCTACCCACCACACAGGGTTGCTGGGAGGATAAAATGACAGAATTTAAGTGAAATACTTTATGAGGGCATATGGAGACGTGTGTTGTTCCATTGTGTGTTGTACTGTGTGTACGAGTGGCAATCTTGGCCTTTTTCCTTGAGGTTTCACACTGTACACAAGAGTATTTGCTTTCTCCTCTTATTTGTCTTAGACGTTGGCAGTCCATTACCTTGTTTTTATCCTGTGTGTCCACTTCTCCGGGCGCCATGAACTTCAGCAGAAGTGCTAAACACTTAGGGCTCTTGTGCCGGGTGGTCAAGTGCAAAGGAGTCATCTCCTCCAGATCCTTCTGCATCCAATTTGCTCTACGTGTCAGTAAGAGCTTCATGAAACGATAATTTCCCTACATAAAAAAAGAGATGGTAAGAAGAAAGTTAGTTTGGAGGCCAAATTGTTTTAAATTTTAAAATGTTTTTAAGTATTTTAACTATTCTGCTAGAGTAATAACATTCAGAATAATTAATAAAGAGAAAAATACTTATAATTCTATTACTCTATCAACTGTTTTCTTTTTTTCATGTTTCCTTCCAACCTCTTTCTATGTGCATATAGTTTATGTAGTTGCTGGTCAATATTTCATTGTGTAAAAGCAATATATTTTATTTAACCATTCTAATATTATTTCCAATATTTTCTTTATAGACACTGCTACAATATACATCTTTTTCTCACACAGTTTGTTTCTTATTGTTTTTTTAAAAGAATAGCCTTGGCTAGTGTGGCTCAGAGGATGGTACGCCAGCCTGCGAACTCAGAGGTCGCTGGTTCAGGGCACATGCTTGGGCTGTGGGCCAGGTCTGCAGTTGGGGGCGTGCAAGAGGCAACCGACTGATGCTTCTCTCACACGTCGATGTTTCTCTCCCTCTCTTTCTCCCTCCCTTTACCTCTCTCTGAAAATAAATAAATAAAATCTTTAAAAAAAAGAATAAATGATCAGGAACCAACTTACTGGGTCAAAGGAGTTTATACATTTTATGTTTGTTTGGTGTATTCTCCAAATTGCTATCTAGGAGCAGCAATAAGTATATTAGTCTCAGCATATTCTGACCAATGTAGCACATATTTATATTCAAGATATGGTAACTTTGTGAAGTAAGCTGAGATTTTAAACCCCAATTAGAGGTGAGGGAAGTGAGATTCAACGGGGTTGAATGTTTTGCTCACAATCATCAGGTTAAGGAGGAGGTGGTCAGTTTTCTGGAATGCAACTATTTACAGGTACAACTAAGCAAAAGGCAGCTTGTTCAAGCTCCAAGTCCTTGACTCAAGCGTCACCTAAACACAAACTCAGAAGTCACTGCAGGCCATCCACTTGCAGGCAATACTCTCCAGGTCAGTTCCACCCTCCTGGAAAAAGAAAGAACTGCAAGGGCTAGAGCAACACACTGGCGGGGACCCCGGTCAGTCATTGTCGAATAGCCCCCTCATCCGAGGCTGCCTTTCCGTGGTTTCCGTTACCAGTGGTGGACTGCAGTCTGAAAATATTACATGGAAAGCTCCAGAAATAAACAATTTGTAAGTTTTAAATTGTGGGTAGTTCTGAGTAGTGTGATGAAATCTCATGCCATCCAGCTCTGTCCTGCCTGGAATGAGAATCACCCCGTTGTCCAGTATATCCACGCCACACACCCTACCTGCCCGTTGGTCATTTAGTAGCCATCTCGGTTATGAGAGACAGAGAGCAGCGAGAGCGAGAGCGAGAGAGAGAGAGAGAGAGGGAGAGAGAGGGAGAAAGAGAGGGAGAGGGAGAGAACAACAGACAGAGAGAGAGCGTGCATGCACTCACATAACTTTACGATAGCACATTGTTATAACTGTTCTACTTTATTATTATAAATTACACTTTACCAAAGATGTATACGTATAGGAAAAAACATATATAGGGTGCAGTGCTAGCTTCAGTTTAAGGTATCCACGCAGGGTCTTGGAATGTATTCCCCACAAATAAGGGGGGACTACTATACAGTCTAGTGTCTGTGTAATATAGAAGATTTGAAACAAAACCTGCAAAAAATAGTTCTTTTGAGGTCTTTCCTAGGATGCTTAGCACCACAGATATTTCGAAGTCAGGATGACCAAACTGTATAGCATGATCAAGTTCTCTGCCTGCCTCTTGCCTATTTATCTCTCCCTCTTCAAAGCACAGTGGGCAGGGCTACCTGTCCTCTTCATCCTCTGAGATCCTCTCCATCCTTGACCGTATTGGAAATTTGGCGGTTTAGGATTATAATGCACTGATGTTTTCCTGTGCGGGGCTACCAGGATTGGTAAGGAAGACGCCTGCTAATGAAGCACCCTCCCGCCGTGATGAAGACTGTGAGGCTCTAAGGCTAAGGGGACGGGTTAGAGCAACGAGGAGGCGCAGAGGGATGACTGAGAGCTGCCTCCATGCCCCCAGCGGCAGAGACGGGCTTCAAGACAAGCTCAAGGGCTGGGCGGAAATAAGAGAACAAGACTAGGAAAAGGGACGACGGGCAGACCTGGGATGGACTGAAAAGTGAGTGGACTCAGCTCGGTTATTTCTTCCCAGAGAGGCTTGTCCTTGACCACCCTGAGTAGACCACCCTTATTTTGTTCTTCCTTCTAGCACCCTGCTGCATCGTTCACAGTGACGCCCTACAGTGACGCCCTCACAAGCTGTAAGCTGTAGAGACTGTGTTTTAGTGTCCACCGTGCTCGGCACAGTTCCTGGCACAAAACAAGTGTTTAGTAAATGTTACTTGGAGGACTGAGTGAGTAAGAGGAAATGAAATCTCTTCTAGGGGTTTTGTTTTTATTCGAAAATCCTTACGGTTGCTACATTAGATCATAACAATTAAGAATCTTAATTCTCAGGTTATCTTGTGTTTTGTTCCTCTTACTTTTTAATGCTTCTTCACGTATCTGACCTTCATTCACCGTGGCCGTCGTTTGTCGGGACTCTTCATGTTGCCCAGGGCCAACTTTCAAAAATGAACGCGCTAACATTTCCTCAAGAGGGCACCCTGCTCTAAATCTCTTGCCATCCTTTCTTTGAAAACAGAAAAAGTGCCCAGGAAAAACAAATCTATATGGTACTTCAGACCAAAAAATAAAGGCTGACCTTTCTGAGCATAACACTTCAAATATTTCAGAGTAATTCATCATGACCTTTTAAAGATACTCAATCACACAATCATTTTGGTTCTGAAATTTAGAGGGAAAGGAAAGGAAAAGGAAACGAGAACTCGTGGAGGGGGTGACCAGTGAGTTATTGAGCCTTGCTCGGAAGCAGGCTGCAGCAGCAAAATGCCTGCACTCCACTTCACTTATTACACGATCTTTGGCAGATTTCATTGCCGCTCCTCACAGAAGTATCATAGCAAAATTTTATAGATTAAATGAAGTATCTTCCTGTGCCTCTATCTCCTCATCTGTAAAACTGCAATAATAATAGTACCTGAGATGATTATGCATAGGAAGTAAGAAAGATAACATTTGTAAAGTGCTTAGAACAGTGCACAGAGCAAATGCTCAGTAAATGTTTGGCAGTTGCATTACAAACAGTTTTCCAGTGTGGAGGAGACAACAAAACACAGGTGGTCAGGGGAAACCAGGGATGGCCTGCAACAGAGGGCGTGCAGGTAGGAAGACATGACCATACGTGGTAACCCTAGCTCAGCCAGTGCTGGAGGAGGAGCCCATGGTTGGGGATAGGTAAAAGTAAAAATAGTTGGAATGAGATAAATAGTGGTTTTCCTGATTTTTTTTTTTTACATTGAGAAAGACATCTATACTTTACCTACAGATAAAGATGATATAGGACCAACAAGGGCATTCCTAGTAGGAATTTAGCTGCTGCCATGAGAGGGATCAGCTATATGATCAGGAGCTTCTCTTATCTGAGGACAGAAACACATCAGAATGCTGGAACTAGAAACAATATAATCCAGCTGGACCAAGGTCAACTTCCCTAGTCTCAGGAACAAGCATTTATTAAACACCCAGTGTGTGCAAACTCAGTTCTAAGAAGGAGCATGGGGGACACAGCTCGGAGCTCAGATCAGGGCATTTAGTGCCAGTGGAAAATGGGAAGATATTGGTTCAAGGCAGCAAGCTAATTTTATCACTCTCTGAAGGTTATAGGACTCTGGGGACCCACATGACAGATACTTTGCTTCCTGTAAAGCCCCCTCAATACAAAAGGAAACAAACACAATGTCTAAACATTTCTTCATTATTGCTTGAAACTGGAACTTACATTTTCAGGTTTATTCTTATAATACAAGTACTTTGGGGAGGACCTGGAAGTGAATCATTTAGTATCATCTCTGAGGACCACACAGAACCTCTTCACGCTGAGGTGAGAACTGTTTTAGGATCTGCTTTTATAATTTCTGACTGGGTAGAACACAGTGTAAGGGTGAAAGAGATAACAGATCAAAAGAATGTGTATTCTTAAGGAAACTCTAACAGTTAAGAAAGACAGCAGAGAGAGCTGAATTTAGAGAAAAGCTCTGATTTCATCACTAAAAGGGCATCAGCTCTGATGTGACCTGGTCTACCGTGCCACTGAAATGGGAAAACTTCCCTAATGTCTCTGAAACACGGATGTCTTCTTTTTGTTAGGTACTCACAATCCTCACCTTATTTTGCTCTAATTATTCATCCCAAGAGCTACTTCTTTTGTTTGTAATGCAAATGTTTATAACATTTGTTTCCCCCCAAATGCATGAGAAAGAGCATACTCTCTAAAAGGGTTAAAGAGAATGAAAAAGTTCTCTGACCTGGAGAACAGAATTTGAAATGAACCTGGGAAATAATCAACCCGAAATGCCACTTTTAATTTTTCACAGAACTTTGGTCTGTCTGTCCAGTTCTCTAAGATGAACTTCTTCTTAAGGAAAAAAACTTGTAAGTCATTAAATCTTAATAACAATAATAGAGAAGCTTTGAATGAAATGCCTGGATATTTTACTTCAGACTCTTCATTTTTAAAGAAATAAAACAGGAATCTTTAAAAAGTGCCCTTTTTGCCCTACTCCAATTCCACTGCCTGTTTGAACACTACTTTCCCAAATGTGCTTATCATTCCAATGAATGTTTTAATACTTTTATTTCTCATAAACATATGTATCTGTAAGTTACATGGTATTGTTTTACATGTTTCCAATCTTTATATAAATAGTACTGTATGAATCACTCGCCACCTTTTACTCAAAGTGGTATTTTTGAGATTTATCCAAGTTGCTTTGGTTCATACATTTTCACTGGAGAAAGTATTCTGTCATATGAAAATAATATGCTGCATTTATTTATTCCCTAGAGGAACATTTAGTATGTTTCTCATTTTTTCACTATTATAGTCAATATTGCAATACATTT